TGTGTGTTGTGTGTGTGTGTGTGTGTGTGTGTGTGGTGTGTGTGTGTGTGTGTGTGTGTGTGTGTGTGTGAGTGTGAGTGTGTGTTGTGTGTGTGTGTGTTGTGGTTGTGTGTGTGTGTGTACTCACCTAGTTGTACTCACCTAGTTGAGGTTGCAGGGGTCGAGTCCGAGCTCCTGGCCCCGCCTCTTCACTGGTCGCTACTAGGTCACTCTCCCTGAACCGTGAGCTTTATCGTACCTCTGCTTAAAGCTATGTATGGATCCTGCCTCCACTACATCGCTTCCCAAACTATTCCACTTACTGACTACTCTGTGACTGAAGAAATACTTCCTAACATCCCTGTGATTCATCTGTGTCTTCAGCTTCCAACTGTGTCCCCTTGTTACTGTGTCCAATCTCTGGAACATCCTGTCTTTGTCCACCTTGTCAATTCCTCTCAGTATTTTGTATGTCGTTATCATGTCCCCCCTATCTCTCCTGTCCTCCAGTGTCGTCAGGTTGATTTCCCTTAACCTCTCCTCGTAGGACATACCTCTTAGCTCTGGGACTAATCTTGTTGCAAACCTCTGCACTTTCTCTAGTTTCTTTACGTGCTTGGCTAGGTGTGGGTTCCAACTGGTGCCGCATACTCCAATATGGGCCTAACGTACACGGTGTACAGGGTCCTGAACGATTCCTTATTAAGATGTGTGTGTGTGTGTGTGTGTGTGTGTGTGTGTGTGTGTGTGTGTGTGTGTGTGTGTGTACTCACCTATTTGTGGTTGCAGGGGTCGAGTCTTAGCTCCTGGCCCCGCCTCTTCACCGGTTGCTACTAGGCCCTCTCTCTCCCCGCTCCATGAGCTTTATCAAACCTCGTCTTAAAACTGTGTATGGTTCCTGCCTCCACTACGTCGTTTTCTAGGCTATTCCACTGCCTTTACAACTCTATGACTGAAGAAATACTTCCTACTATCTCTCTGACTCATTGTGTCTTCAACTTCCAATTGTGGCCTCTTGTTTCTGTGTCCCCTCCCTGGAACATCCTGTCTTTGTCCACCTTGTCTATTCCACGCAGTATTTTATATGTCGTTATCATGTCTCCCCTGACCCTCCTGTCCTCCAGTGTCGTCAGGCCGATTTCCCTTAATCTTTCTTCATAGGACATTCCCCTTAGCTCTGGAACTAACCTTGTCGCAAACCTTTGTACTTTCTCTAGGTTTCTTGACGTGTCTTTATCAAGTGGGGTTCCAAACAGGTGCATGCATACTCCAGTATGGGCCTGACATACACCGTGTACAGTGTCTTGAATGTATTCCTTACTAAGGTATCGGAATGCTGTTCTCTGTTTGCCAGGCGCCCATATGCTGCAAAGTTACTGATTGATGTGTGCTTCCGGAGTACATGCTCGGTGTTATACTCACCCGAAGATCATTCTCGTTTGAGTGAGTTTGCGTGCTTTGCGACCTGCCTATTCTGTGTGTGGTCTTCTGTGCGCCTTTCCCCTATCTTCATGACTTTGCATTCTGGCAGGATTAATTTCATCAGAAGCCATTTGCTGTACCAGTGTCCAGTCTGTCCAGGTCCTTTTGAAGTTACCTGCCTGGTCCTACTTCAAATTTATTCTCCCTTAACTTTACATCATCTGCAAACAGGGACACTTTCTGAGTCTAACCCTTCATCATGTCGTTCACGATATACCAAGAAATAGGACTGGTCTAGGACGACCTCGTGGGACCCCTCGTCACAGGTGCCTCACTGTGAACATCATACGTATCCATGACTCGTTGTCTCCACTGTTCATATTCTCTGATCCATTGCTAGTCCTCGTCCTTTATATTCCGTCCTGAAATCTCTAGCTTCTGCACTAATCTCTTGATGGCAACTGTCCGAAAGGCCTTCTTCATGTCCAGAAGTCAATCTCAAACTCCCTTTCTCCCTGTCTTACTTCTGTGTAGTTTTATCATAATACTCCGAAAGTTTTGTGACACAGGATTTGCCTTCCGTTATTCCGTGCTGGTTGGCATTTATACTCTTGTTCCGTTCCAGGTGCTCCACCACTCTCCTCCTGTGTGTACTCACCTAATTGTGGTTGCAGGGGTCGAGACTCAGCTCCTGGCCCCGCCTCTTCACTGATCGCTACTGGATCCTCTCTCTCTCTGCTTCCTGAGCTTTGTCATACCTCTCTTAAAACTATGTATGGTTCCTGCCTCCACTACTTCACTTGCTAGGCTATTCCACTTGCTGACAACTCTATGACTGAAGAAATACTTCCTAACGTCCCTGTGACTCGTCTGAGTCTTCAGCTTCCAGTTGTACCCCTTGTTCTGTGTCCCCTCTCTGGAACATCCTATCTTGTCCACCTTGTCTATTCCCTCGCAGTATCTTGTATGTCGTTATCATGTCTCCCCTGACCCCTGTCCTCCAGTGTCGTCAGGTTCCGATTTCCCTTAACCTTTCCTCGTACGACATTCCCTTAGCTCTGGGACTAGCCTTGTTGCAAACCTTTGTACTTTCTCTATTCTTGACGTGCTTGACAGGTGTGGGTTCCAGACTGGTGCTGCATACTCCAGTATGGGCCTAACATACACAGTGTACAGTGTCTTTAACGATTCCTTATTAAGGTATCGGAACGCTTTCTCAGGTTTGCCAGGCGCCCTATGCTGCAGCGGTTATTTGGTTGATGTGTGCCTCCGGATGTGCTCGGTGTTATGGTCACCCCAAGGTCTTTTCTCCCTGAGTGAGGTCTGTAGTCTTGTCCACCTAGCCTATACTCTGTCTGCGGTCTTCTTGCCCTCCCCAATCTTCATGACTTTGCATTTGGCTGGATTGAATTCAGAAGCCAGTTCTGGATCCAGGTCCAGCCTCTCCAGGTCCTCTTTGCAGTCCTGCCTCATCCTCGTCCGATTTAATTCTTCTCATCAACTTCACGTCATCTGCGAACAGGGACACTCAGAGTCTATTCCTTCCATCATGTCGTTTCACATATATCAAAAATAGCACTGGTCCTAGACTGACCCCTGTGGGACCACCCGGGTCTAACAGGGCGCCCACTGTGATACCTCTTCACGTATCCATGACTCGTTGCTGCTCCCTGTCAGGTTTTCCCTTATCCATTGCAGTGCCCTTCCTTTTACGTGGCTGATCCCCAGCTTCTGCACTAATCTCTTGTGAGAACTGTGTCAAAGGCCTTCTGCAGTCTAGGAAAACGCAACTACCAACCCTCTGTCTCTCGTGTCTTACTTCTGTTACCTTGTCATAAAACTCCAGAGGTTTGTGATACAAGATTTGCCTTCCTGAACCCATGCTGGTTTCATTTATAATTTGTTCCTTTCCAGGTTCGACCCACTCTCCTCCTGATAATCTTCGTCCATGACCTTTGTCCACATTATACATGTAAGACCTGGTCTGTAGTTTTAGTGCCCATCGGGTTTCTGATTCTTTCTTAAGTATGGGTGACTACATTACTGTCTTTCCTTTCTCAGGTAGTTGTCCCAGTTTCAAGGGATGTGTTGAAGATTGGGTTAGAGGCACAACACAGCATCTCTGTTCCTTCTCTAAGACCCATGGTGAGATGTTTGCGTCTCCACATCGCCTTGAGGTGTCAATGTCACTTAAGAGTTCCTATCTTCACCTCCTCCTCATTTTCGTATTCATCCAACACTTGTTGGTATATTCCCTCTTAATGTTCCCATTCGTTCTGTCTTCCCACAGCCTTTACTTCTCTACTACTGTAAAACTTCCTAAAACTCCTGTTCAGTCCTCACATTCCCCTGATCAATTTCTTGTGAGTTCTCCACCTTCCTGGCCCTTAATCGATCACGTGTCTTTGACGTTGTCTTCCTCCTGATGTGCTATACAACTAGTTTCGGGTCAGTCTTGATTCTCGATGCTAGTGCATTCCTTTCATACTGTCTCTGAGCTCTCTCCTCACTACTCTGTGCATACTCGTTCACTGGCTCTGCGACTGATCTCCCTATTTTCGTGTGTTCTCTGCCTTCTGTACTTTTTCCATTCTCTATTGCACTTTGTTTTTGCCTCCTTACCCGCGGGGATTAACCATGGGCTTGTTCAGGTCTCCAGTTTGGTTACTTGTTGCCCTTGGGAATGAACCTTTTCCACTGCCTCCTTGCATTTTTGTTGCTACTATTCCTCATTTATGTTACTGGCTTTCCTGCCAGTTCTCTGTCCCACTGGACCTCCCGCAGGAAGTTTCTTCAACCCTATGTAGTCCCCTCTTTTTATAGTCAGGGTTGTTTTTCATTCTACTCTGTTATTCTCTCTCTTGCAGCTCTACTATGTATTCAAAGCACAGAACCACGTGGTTGCTAGCTCCTAGGGGACTCTCATACTTGATGTCCTCAATGTCTGAGTGCCCAGGTTGAACACAAGGTCCAATCTTGCTGGTTCATCCTCCCCTCTCACTCTGGTAGTGTCCTTAACATGTTGGTGCATGAGGTTTTCCAGCACCACGTCCAACATCCTGGCTCTCCATGTTTCGGGACCCCCATGTGGCTCCAGGTTTTTCCCAGTCAATCTCCCTGTGTTGAAATCCCCCATAACCAGCAACTTTGCTCTGCTGGAGTGAGCTCTTCTTGCCACCTCAGCAAGTTGTGTCCACCATTGCTCTGTTGCTGCTTCATCATATGAGTGTGTGTGTGTGTGTGTGTGTGTGTGTGTTGTGTGTGTGTGTGTGTGTGTGTGTGTGTGTGTGTGTGTGTGTGTGTGTGTGTGTGTGTGTGGACAGGATGGTGGTAGCAGTAAATACCTTCTGTTATGCTGCCAATAAATGTCATTCCATGGATAACATTTCTCATCAAGAATACTGTCAGTGCTATAAATGTTGTGATCATTGTGACTGGTGGTGCTGGCACTAGGCACTCCTCTCTTATCACATTTATTCCTCTCCACCTGATAAAGAAAACGAGCACTGACATTGTCCGTAGAAAATGGGTCTACAATAACAAAGAGAAGATGGGAATTTCTGGGTTGACAATTATTGTGGGGGTTGATTGTTATATAGGTGGTGTTGAGGGTGTAGGGAGGCCTGGGGGGTAGAAGGGAGGTGTGAGGTACCTCAACTGGAGGTAACAACTTCGGGTTAGTGACGTGTTGGGTGGAAACGTTTGTGGTGTAGGGTGTAGAGAGTGTGTATGTATGTGTGTGTGTGTGTGTGTTTGTATGTGTGTGGCAGGGTGGGTGTAGAGTATCGACCAGTACAGGGGGGGTGGTAGGGGGGAGTAAGAGTGTGTGCAGTAGAGGTGCCGTGAGTCAGTGTGTGGTGCCTAGCTGGTGTGGCAGGTCGCACACCCTCTCACCCTCCACCACGCTGTCTCACACTCGTTCATCCTCCTCTTCCTCCTCCTCTTCTTCCTCTCCTCTCTCTCCTTCTTTCTCTTCTCCTCTCTCCTTTCTCTCCTCCTTCCCAGCTTCCCTTCTGCCTCTCTCCAAGTCCTACCAGCTGGTCCCTACCTCGTGTTCGTTCCCTTCTGCGTCATCTGAGACAGATTCCTCCGTCAGGAGTTCCAGGCAGCAGCAGCCGGCACCCGCGTGGTCCACTGAGTCCTCCTCAGCAGAAGATAACTGCTCGAGTACTCTCCCTCCACCTTTGACTACCTCATCCGTCACCCCCAACCCCCGGAGACTCTATCCATCCACATCCTCACCGGATCAGCGTCCGCGGAGTGCGTCTATTCCTCAGTCACCGTCGATCTGCGTATCTTGGAGCTCCAGCGCCTCGGACAGCATCACGGAGGGCTTCCCCCGGAGTGTGTCCCTGCCAGACTCCTCGCTGGAGGAGCACCTCTGGAGGGAGTCACTGCTGGACTCCCCCACGGGGCACTCCACCTCCTGGAGTAGGCTCCTCCCTCGTTCACATTCCTCCCTGGCCTCGCTCTCGGGCTCACCCTCCTACGTCTCTTTAGACTCGAGTCCTCCGTCGTCACCACCGTCCTCGCCCCAGGGTAACCCCGGAGGGTTCAACATGCCTCGGCCCCTTGCCCAGAGTGCCCTCATGAGGCCCCTGGTGGCCCTGGCACTGCCGGGCATGTACCTGGTCTACAAGTATAACCAGTACAAGAGACAGCAGCAGGAGGCCAACAGACGGAAGGCAGCAGAGAGAGAACTGGCTCAGCTCAACCACAAGATAGTAAGTAACCCTCTCTTGCCTCCTTCTGTGACAATACCCTTACGGTTTTAGCGCTTCCTCATTAATGCAGGAATATTCCCTCCTGTGGACTGCCAGAGTAGCGTGCTTGTTAGGCGATTAGCGGACTGTGGTATGAGCCTTCCCGGCTTCCTGCGCTGCGTATTCCGCAGCGGGTTGATGGTTAAGTCAGTTTCCCAGCCTTCTGTTATGTCCATTTTGACCCCATAATCTACCTTGTCCATAATTACTATCGCATTTGCTTTGTCTGCTTTTTTAAGGTGAAGTCCAGGATCTTTCCTTAATTCATGGTATAACTTAACAAATCTTTGAGAACAATTAAGGAAAAATTTGTTGTTATACCATGAATTACGGAAAGATCCCAGACTTCACCTTACGAAAGCAGACAAAGTAAATGGGATAGTAATTATGGACAAGGTAGATTATAGGGGAAAAATGGATATGTTCTTAGAAGGTAAGGGAACTCAAGCACCCGTTGAACGTTCCACATAAAAATAATGAAAAGATGCCTGTGAGTACTGCCAGCGTCACTCATTGTTGTAAAACCTTACACAGAGATGTTGATGACTGAAATATGTTGATGAGTAGCGTCATAGATACTAATATCACGGGTAGTTTTCACGTTAAACAAGTATGTGATTGAGAGAGGAGTAGTAGTAGTTCTTCCGGGTCTCGAACCCTGGACCCCAGTGGTGAGAGGCGTGACTCACACCACTGAGCCTAAAACTGAGCATCGATATCAACAAAAAATCTGTTACTTACCTTAAAATATTTGTAGTCTTAATGTAGGGTGAGTGAGAGAGGATGGATGTGAGGAAGAACCACCTATCCCGTAGACCTACCCCAGCCCTCTACTCTTATCCTCTTTTGCAAGGGTGTCACGTTGCACAGCTAGCCTTGCAATCTTAAAGAATAACACCGAATCTTGAAGACTAATAGTACATTTTAATGTGCATACGTCTGTGACTGTTACAGGGCGAAGGTTTAGTGTTGTGGTCGATAATGTGTTCAACAGGGAGCCATTAACCTCCTTTCTTTTCTTAATATTAATAATGTCATGGCCAGTGGAGGAAATCTGTTGCAACACATATCAGGCAGTGAAAATCTCTCCCAATCACGATTGAGGCGGCAGCAGTGCCAGTGGTCGATGCCTCTCAGGTTACTGAATAAACCATGTTGAAGTGTGTAAATGTTGGGGTGTGAGGCACTCAATAAGCAAGGTGTGAGGCACTCAGTAAACAAGCTGTGAGGCACTCAGTAAACAAGGCGTAAGGCACTCAGTAAACAAGGCGTGAGGCACTCAGTAAACAAGGCGTGAGGCACCCAGTAAACAAGTTGTGAGGCACTCAGTAAACAAGGCGTAAGGCACTCAGTAAACAAGGCGTGAGGCACTCAGTAAGCTTGGTGTGAGGCACTCAGTAAGCTTGGTGTGAGGCACTCAGTAAGCTTGGTGTGAGGCACTCAGTAAACAAGCTGTGAGGCACTCAGTAAACAAGGCATGAGGCACTCAGTAAGCTTGGTGTGAGGCACTCAATAAACAAGCTGTGAGGCACTCAGTAAACAAGGCATGAGGCACTCAGTAAGCTTGGTGTGAGGCACTCAGTAAACAAGGCGTGAGGCACTCAGTAAACAAGCTGTGAGGCACTCAGTAAACAAGCTGTGAGGCACTAAGTAAACAAGGCATGAGGCACTCAGTAAGCTTGGTGTGAGGCACTCAGTAAGCTTGGTGTGAGGCACTCAGTAAACAAGCTGTGAGGCACTCAGTAAACAAGGCATGAGGCACTCAGTAAGCTTGGTGTGAGGCACTCAGTAAACAAGCTGTGAGGCATTCAGTAAACAAGCTGTGAGGCACTCAGTAAGCTTGGTGTGAGGCACTCAGTAAACAAGCTGTGAGGCACTCAGTAAACAAGGCATGAGGCACTCAGTAACAGCTTGTGAGGCACTCAGTAAAACAAGCTGTGAGGCACTCAGTAAGCTTGGTGTGAGGCACTCAGTAAAAGCTTGTGGGCACTCAGTAAACAAGGCTTGAGGCACTCAGTAAGCTATGGATGAGGCACTCAGTAAGCTAGCTGTGAGGCACTCAGTAAAGCTTGTGAGGCACTCAGTAAACAAGGCATGAGGCACTCAGTAAGCTTGGTGTGAGGCACTCAGTAAACAAGCTGTGAGGCACTCAGTAGTGTTTCAAGTACAGTTGAGTGCCTGTCAGCTCGAGGATAACAACTGTGACACGTAAGTTGGTGTAGTCACCTATAAATCATAGCGGGAGGTCAAGTTAACAGCTCCTGGCCTCGTATCTTGGATTAGGCACTCATAACGCCTGCTGAGCCCTCAAATTCGAACTTTAAAACAAGATGAGACTGCAGTAAGTTGTTCACTCAGACAAAAGCTGTGAGCCTCATTATCTGCTTCTCAAATAAGTCTGAGTCCTGTAGTCATTAAATTACCTTTAAAGTATTTTGATGTACTATATATATCATCCTCAGTTCATTGGCCCTCTTTGTCCAATTCATCTTTACCTCTCCTCGTAGCTTTGTTGCATACTCTGATGAATTGCAAAGTTTCTCTCAGACTTGGTTATGTGTTGTGTCAGATGGTCCTATATAATCGTTAGGATTCCTTAAAATTGTATCTGGATTTTGCCAGACGAGCATTCGCTCATGGTTCTTCTATGGTGTCTTTGCGATATATTGTCACTAGCTACCCTTGGTCTTTCTCTTGATCGGTCTGAAGCTTCTGTTGCCTCTGCTTCTTACCTGTTTTTTTCTAACTTGGTCTTTGCTTTTGGTGAATTCGAGATAGCCGTGTCTTACGTGTGACGATACTTAATGTCTGTTTCCGTAGAGGTGAGGTTATTCTCTGTTCTTGGCATAACTTGTCAGAGACACTTCTCGTCTGTGTTCTTTCGGGTACAGTAGTCATAAGTGACCCAGATGCTCTTTGTCTATATAACTTGCTTTGGGGTAACTGTCAGGATACCTTGTTACCTGTAATTGGACTAACTTCACCCTAGAGACATGGACTTAAGTGACGGTGTCGACCTCACAGTGCCAAAGTGCTTTGATTAACCATGTGGGAGATTGTAAACATGCTCGCAATAAACCCAGTAGCCTGTTGCAGTGACCTTGTTATGTCTTATGTCAACTTATTCCTGAAATATTAATAGTTTCTGTATAAACATCTGGTGGTAATGGGCTGCTCGATAGTTGAGCGTGTTGCACACCTCCTTGTTGACTGTGTTTTGCACTACCCATCCTTTGGGTTGACTGTGTTGGCACACCCCATCCTTGTTGACTGTGTTGCACACCCCATCCTTGTTGACTGTGTTGCACACCCCATCCTTGTTGACTGTGTTGCACACCCCATCCTTGTTGACTGTGTTGCACACCCCATCCTTGTTGACAGTGTTGCACACCCCATCCTTGTTGACATGTGAGTGTGCACACCCCATCCTTGTTGACTTGACAGTGTTGCACACCCCATCCTTGTTGACAGTGTTGCACACCCCATCCTTGTTGACTGTGTTGCACACCCCATCCTTGTTGACTGTGTTGCACACCCCATCCTTGTTGACAGTGTTGACAGTGTTGCACACCCCATCCTTGTTGACAGTGTTGACAGTGTTGCACACCCCATCCTTGTTGACTGTGTTGCACACCCCATCCTTGTTGACTGTGTTGCACACCCCATCCTTGTTGACAGTGTTGACAGTGTTGCACACCCCATCCTTGTTGACAGTGTTGCACACCCCATCCTTGTTGACAGTGTTGACAGTGTTGCACACCCCATCCTTGTTGACAGTGTTGACAGTGTTGCACACCCCATCCTTGTTGACAGTGTTGACAGTGTTGCACACCCCATCCTTGTTGACTGTGTTGCACACCCCATCCTTGTTGACTGTGTTGCACACCCCATCCTTGTTGACAGTGTTGACAGTGTTGCACACCCCATCCTTGTTGACAGTGTTGCACACCCCATCCTTGTTGACAGTGTTGACAGTGTTGCACACCCCATCCTTGTTGACAGTGTTGACAGTGTTGCACACCCCATCCTTGTTGACAGTGTTGACAGTGTTGCACACCCCATCCTTGTTGACAGTGTTGACAGTGTTGCACACCCCATCCTTGTTGACTGTGTTGCACACCCCATCCTTGTTGACTGTGTTGCACACCCCATCCTTGTTGACAGTGTTGCACACCCCATCCTTGTTGACAGTGTTGCACACCCCATCCTTGTTGACTGTGTTGCACACCCCATCCTTGTTGACTGTGTTGCACACCCCATCCTTGTTGACAGTGTTGCACACCCCATCCTTGTTGACAGTGTTGCACACCCCATCCTTGTTGACAGTGTTGCACACCCCCATCCTTGTTGACAGTGTTGCACACCCCCATCCTTGTTGACAGTGTTGCACACCCCCATCCTTGTTGACAGTGTTGCACACCCCATCCTTGTTGACAGTGTTGCACACCCCACCTTGTTGACAGTGTTGCACACCCCATCCTTGTTGACAGTGTTGCACACCCCCATCCTTGTTGACAGTGTTGCACACCCCATCCTTGTTGACAGTGTTGCACACCCCATCCTTGTTGACAGTGTTGCACACCCCATCCTTGTTGACAGTGTTGCACACCCCATCCTTGTTGACAGTGTTGCACACCCCCATCCTTGTTGACAGTGTTGCACACCCCATCCTTGTTGACAGTGTTGCACACCCCCATCCTTGTTGACAGTGTTGCACACCCCCATCCTTGTTGACAGTGTTGCACACCCCCATCCTTGTTGACAGTGTTGCACACCCCATCCTTGTTGACAGTGTTGCACACCCCATCCTTGTGACAGTGTTGCACACCCCCATCCTTGTTGACAGTGTTGCACACCCCCATCCTTGTTGACAGTGTTGCACACCCCCATCCTTGTTGACAGTGTTGCACACCCCCATCCTTGTTGACAGTGTTGCACACCCCATCCTTGTTGACAGTGTT